AGCCTCAAGTAGGTTCCTTGTCATCGAATTCTAACATTTTGCTTACCATTACTGTTAATTTTTATGTTTTTAGCCAATCTTTTTCATATACTCTTTTTGATTTCCTAATGTGCTCTTTAACCAACTCTCTTGATTAATAAGAGTAATACACCATTTAAACCACCATTATTAATTACTGCAAAAACAAAGATATTTTGCTACATATTTCAGCCATGTTTGTTTGAGCTATCATCAGGCAGAATACCTTTATTTTGCTGTAATAGATAATTGCAGTTTACATGGTGTATTACTTCTATTAAATGAATACCAGAAGATATACGAGTAAACCAATTTAACTCTCTTGATCTCTTTTAATGCTTTAAGTCTCCTGTCATTAGTAAATTTAAATTTCCTCTATTTTATCCCTTATATTCTTTGTGAGCCAATCTGGTCTTTTACTTAAAACTTTCCTTTTTTCTCTATAAGGAATATGTTTATCTTGAATATTTAAAATTTTTCTACATTTGACCATTATCTCCAATTAATTCAGTTTTGAAATTCATGAAAATAATTCTTGTTGCATTTATTCAAAATTAGCCTTTTTTTATTTCTAGTCGCCATATGCTTAATATAGCTTAATGATAGAGAATGGAGATTGTTGATAAATGAGAATTTAATGTTAATTGGGAAAGTTTAACTTTTATTTCTTCAAATTTTACAAGGAAATCCTAATTAAATTGCTATAATATGTGTTGTTTTTTCTGTTTGTGCCAGCTTTGAACTATTTTGTTGGATACAAAGATGAGTGAGCAGATCAAGTTTATTGTTCAAGAGCTCAACAAAGAACCATTTAACAGGAAGTTGAATCTAATCAGCTTTGATTCTCTGAAAAGTGAACATCTGTTACAAGTTCTCAATGATGTATTTGCCGAAATTGATTCAAGAGTAAGTAACATCTTTTAAATTGTACAACATTATAAACCTAAGGTTCTCAGGTATTAGTATTATCTTTTACTGTTTTCTTTGGTTCTTCATTTAAATATTGCTGCTCCAATTAATTTTCAGACAAAATTCATTTGGTTTCTCCTTCACAGCTAAGAGTCTTATGAGATTTATTATTAAATATCTTATGTAGATGAGGGTAAGGTGTGTGAATTTGGAATATTTGGATTATCAGTAAGAATCTTACAAGGTGCCACATAAAACGAGATTTGTTAAAAAAAATATCTATAGGTGTGAGGGATAAGTTGGCTTGTTGGGTTGAAAAGTGGTTGGGTGGAAGAAAACAGAGGGAGGTCAGTCAAACTGGATTAATGTCACTAGTGAGGCACCAAAAGATTCAGTGTTAGGACCTTTGCTTCTTAGTTACATCAATGACATAGGTGGGGGAATGGTCAATAAATTATTTATGCACCTTTTTTTTTCTTCTTACTTATTAGTAAGAATGGAAAAAAAAAGGGGACAGATTTTTGCAGGGTAGGAGTCATCTTTAGCTCAGAAGGTTCTACTTTACTATCAGAGTAGTTGGACTTTGGAATGAGCTACTTTCAGATATAGTGGATGCAGTAAATTTAAGGGACTTTGAGTGAAAGTTTGATAAATATTTAGCTTATAAGGACTGCCTTTGAGGATATTATTTTATAGCTTAGTGAATGGAATAGCTTCAATGGGGCAACAGGCCCCTTGCTATCCTTAAGTATTATTTTATATAACTTGAAGAGATTTAAGAAAATAAATCATTCTTGTACTACCAAGCTATTGAAAAATTGTGAAATTTACATTAGTATTGTTTTAGCTTGCTTAAACAACATAATCAATAGTATGTATGTATATTTGTTCGAGGTTATTTTTTTATTATTTGTGAAAATAGTGATAATTTCAAGATAATTTCAATTCTTGTTACTTTATATGAAGTAATACTTATTAAAGCTATAGTTACATATAATATAACAAGTAATTTGTATTGTTTCTACTATGCACTTGGTATGATCATGAATGTAAATTTTGTTAGATGTTGTTGTGTGCTAATGTGCAACAATATCTGCACAAAAGCTGAATGATTTCTCCCCAGACAACTAAATGTCTAGGATATACTGCCAAGAGTAACAACATGTCATGAATTCTTAAATATAGGCCATGAATGTTTGGCAGGCAATAAACTATCAAAGATACATAATCAACAAAACTGCAATAAATGTGTAAATGGCTCTGAAACAATAAGTCATACAATCATTTCTAAATTGATATTAGACATATATATATGTAAGTAAGAAATGTATATATATATATACATTTCTTACTTCAAAGTAAGGAAAGCATTGGGCACCTACCCACAGGGTCCATTCCTGGATAATTTCACAATGCCCTGAACCTATGTTACATAAATTATAGTATATTGTGATAATGTTATACTTATTTTGAGTAGCAGCTGCTTCTCGGGACCCAAGCCCCAAATCTTTTTGGTAGCTTGCAATGAAGCTGCCTCTAATATTGAATAATAGGTAAGATTTTTCAACATATAATACTAAAGATGTTTTAAAGTTTTGATATAAAGTAAGCAAAGTTTAGTTATCAAGAGAAGTGTTTGAAAAGATAAGAAAGCTTATGAATTATTATAAAATAAACTTATGATAGGCATAGAAATGTAGCAGCCAGTGCTACTTTTTGAAGTTGATTATAGTTCATTAAAATAGCTATAATATGTATAATATACATTTAGCACAAAGTTTAGCAGTAATTTTAGAAAAATGATGATATATATCTGTAAATGTGTTGGTTATTGTTTATAAAAATAATGCTTATTCTCAAACTTTGGGTTGGTTATATCTATAGACTATGATTAGATTTAAGGAGTTGTGAATGTAAATTAAGAAAGCAGACTTTACTGTTGTATTGTTGACAAGTTACATGAGCATAAATATTGAATAACAAAAGTCCTTGTTAAAAACTATGAAATTCAATATGAAACATGGTGACAGAACTTCATTACTCACCATATCATTTATTTTATGTACCTTGTCAGATTAATAGTGAAGTATGCAAGATAATTTGAAAAAAAAATCTTAGAAGATGATATACTAATAACTGGGAGCTTTAACAGTATTATCTTTTTATTTTACATTAACTGTGTTACCAAATAATTTTTACACATTTGAAAAAGCATTTTTATGTTTTCAATCACTTTGATCTTTAGCATTTCGTGTCTACTGAATCTTTTGGGAGTATTTTGTTTGTTAGACAGTTTTTGTTGCTGCATTTTTACTCTTCTAATGTTTTCAAAACTGAAAGAATGTGTTCGGATACTAACAGGTGAAAGTGGATGTCAGAGAAGAGGACCCAGAACAGTTAGCTGTGAAGATGTTGGGATTTCTTCGAATTTTGAAATATAAACCACCTCCAGATGTGGATTTGTGAGTACAATAATAAAGTGATTATCTTTGAAAGTTGATTTGTTCCATTTGACTTAATGAAATAAAATTTAAACTGTGGTCAGTTGATAAAAAAATATGTAAACAAATATGTAAAGAAAAAAATTATATACAATTGAAGAATTTTGCATGGACAGCATTAAGTGATGAACTTTTAAGTGGTTATTATGAAACATTTAACACATACTGTATGTATATGAAGAGATCAAAAATTGTTTTATATGTGTTGTTAATCATAAACAAGAAATATTCATGACAGTTTGATTGTTTTTTAAAACTTATAATGTAGGTAAATTAACATGTAAAAAACTTACACAGACAACAATATGCATTGTTGCTCGATGAAGTCCCCAGTATGAGGGCTGAAAGCTCATAACTAAAGGAAAACCACTTAATGTGGAGAACAGTCCACATATATTTTTTTTACATACTGAGCTTGAAGACAGATTTTAATGTTATTCAATTTTCATATTGATAAATCTGAAGCACTGATAATGTACATTCTACTTTTTCCTGATGAACTTGTACAATCTCTCCTGATAATAATAAGGTGTTATTTATCTTTTTCCATCAGTGTTCAGCACTTTTCAACTATTTTTAGAGCTTTTAATTAATTGGTTACAATAGACTACAATAAAGTGTTTTAAATTTGATGACATCTTGGTTATGTTTTACTACACTACAAATACATGTACTAGTTAAATTTTAGTTATTTTTTCCATTTTAAGACAGTTGTTAACATAGTAAGGTAGATGAATCATATATTATTTCTCATTCTACACGTAATTGGTGAGTTGATGTCTAAGAACTCTCATATTCATGTTAGGAAAAATTATTTGAAGTCATATTCTAATGTAAGTTATTTAATCCCCGTTCCTTATTTCATTGGTATATTTATGTTAAAGATTCCTTTTCTTTTTCACCAGAGGTGAAATTGAAAAAAAATCTATGAGGCAGTTTCTCCTATTCAAGGCTCATCAGCACAGCTTGGGTCAGGAACCAAAGAAATACCATTAAGCCTTTTATAATGGTGAAGTGTATATAGTATCTGTGGTGTTTTGAGTCCGTTTTACTTCACCATATAGTATATTTTGTTTTTCAATAGTCTTTTCTTTATGACTTCCTACAGAGTATGGCCTGTTAGTTATCATGCATGGATTGTGAATCTGTGGGTTCATGGTTTGGGTCATTTTACCGTAAAAAGTTGCTCCACGTTTTGGGGCCATGAATGAAGTATATGAGTGATGGTCAAATCGTACTAGTTGGTTGGACAAGAATAACTCAAGAGTTGGTGGTGGGTACTGTTGTCTAGCTGCCTTCCTTCAGTTCCAAATTAGAGGTGGCTATGTGTGGTTAGCCCTTATGTAGCTTTGTAAATAAACACACAGTTGAACTTCAAGCCATTTCATATTGAAATGAAGAAGAGTTGTTCCAGCTTAAATTTAAAACAATAGTTTGTATGATATTGTCAATAAAAAAATCCTTATGTCGCTTTGTAAATAAACACACAGTTGAACTTCAGGCCATTTCATGTTGAAATGAAGAAGAATTGTTCCAGCTTAAATTTAGAATAATAGTTTGTATGATACTGTCAATAAAAAAAAACCCTGTATAAAAAAAAATACAGACATTTTACTTTGTACAAAATAATTTTTCCAATATTGTTATGTATCAAGAATGTGAACTTTCACCTATCTGATTTAGTATTCAGTTTGTTCTGTAAAGTATTTCATAACTTGCAACATTATTATACTAACTACACACATTTAAGTTAGTTGTATATATGTTTTTTCACTAGGAGTGAATTTCGTCAAGGTATTGTGTATGGAGAGAAAGCAGTTGTACATCATATTCTGGAATGGGTTTTACGTCGCTTGGAAGAACTTAAGAAAAGGGCTTACTTGGCTCGGTATCTTGTCAAAATTGATCTTGCTCCAGCTGTTGAAGGGGATGCTGATGTCTTAGAGTTGTATCAACAGGTAAATCTCTCATTTGGTGAGACATTTCTTGTGATATATATAAAAATAAGATAAAAAAAAAATTAGTTCCTCATCCTCCTTTAACAGATAGACTTGAAAATACAAATTGTAAAAATAACATATACAACTCATAAACTAAAGAGATAGTTCAGGTAAATTATTATTTTGATTTCAAAATATTAATTTATATAATATCTATTTTACGGTCATGATATTAGGGAAGCTATATCAAAAATTAGATTTGAGCTGATAGTGTAAAACTTTAGAGGTGTTTTGTACTCTAGACTAAATAAGATGTAGTTTACCAATTAAGACTTGAAGATAGATTGTAATTGAGACTGTTCCAAGCTATATTTAAGTCATTTTACACAGCTGGCTGGCCATTTGTAGCTCACATCTTCATATTTTCTTGGATAATTTAATTTTGATCATACAGCCATCATTGGTCCAATCTTTCAAGGGAAAAACATATAAGAATGTATTGACCGTGCAAAATAATGTATGAACTTCTTCATTGAAAAATATGATAAAGTAGATTGGTCAGATACCAAAAATGACCAAATGAATATCTAAATCACCCATCAAAGTTTGCTTTGATGCTAATGATTTTTGGTCTTTGTGAAATTTTCTTTAAAATAGAACATTTTAGGAATATGTCAGTAAAGAACTCTATAGCTTTTGTTTGACTGTTTTTTTTTTTTGTGTGTGGGTACTATCCAGAATAGATCTCATTGATATTTTAAGTTGAAACTTTTAGTTATTGCCACATTGAAATTTTTATCCAACCTTCTGTTTCTTTTGAAATCTAAACAAGTCAGCCCAGTTACAATTTTTTTTAAAATTTACATTGGTTAATTGGAATGATACTTTTTTTTTTGTCTTTAATGTATGGATTCCTTTGTAAACAACTGTATATGTTCTTCAAGATCTCTTTCTGTTTTATGTAGAAATTAGTTTATAGTATTGGCAACAAATAGCATGTAAGTTCTTGTCATTTGGTCAAATGTTTTATTGTTATTTTTTAATTAACCTGATTCTTTATTACATGTGTATTAAAATTCCTAGTTTGTGCTTGATATAAGTTATCACACTATTTTAATTAACAGTATGAGCAACTAATTGAAGATTTTAAAGAAGTCCATAAACAGTATGAAGCATTAAAAACCAGTGGTTTCTCACCACAAGAAATAAGGAAGGATCTTGGACACATGGAAGAGGAAAAAGAACAACTGACAAAGAAAATTGAAAGAGTCAAACGAAAGGTAAAAGTTGTGTTTGTTCATGTACCAAAAATAGGATTTAATACTTTGCTCTTAAGATTCTATCCTGTTGGATATAATTGGGGTAAATATGTTCAGTCTGATTTATCTAAAACTTGTAACAGTAAAGCTGCATAATATTTCTAATTGCTAATTCTGTCATAAAAAAAAAGCATTGTGACATAATTAGTAATAAATATATCATTACATATATTGTTGTGATTAATAAACATACATACACAGATGCAAAGACCACTAGTCTGAGAAATCATTTCCGTTCTTGTGACATCTCCTTTTGTCCAGCTAACATGGAATTTTTACTGTTAAGTGGGAGAAAAATGCCTTTAAGTATAAAGCTATGAATGAATTTACATAATTTTTAAGATCATTTATGAAGTTTTCTTGTACCCTGAGCTAGTGCCAGTATTTTTCAAATCTTGTTAATTTGTAAACAGGAACAAAAACTGTGTCAACAAAGTATTGCATCTTATTTTTATTCTCAAATGAATTGTCTGATTACACGAGCTTGAATTAAGTGCAATAAATTCTGGCCATTAGCATTTGTAGTTTAAAATAATCTTATTACAACACTACTGGTACAATAAAAATTCATATTAGGGGAACTATTTTTATTGGAAAGATGTAGAAAACATACAATATTTTTGAAATATTAGTTTCCACATTATGTGTAGACGATGCAAAAATTCATATTTCGATTCTCATGTCTTTAGTTAATAGCTTTTATTTTGAATGGTTAAAGAAATGATCACAAGAAGATGCAAGAAATATGTTAACATTAGCTTGTTTTAAAATAGGTTATATAAATTTTGAATAAATACCTATATGGGATTTTGTAATGTACATCAATCATTGCAGCACTTTTGCCATTGAACATTTTCCGTACAACCCTTGTTTAAACTAACACATCATGAAATGGACTTGTCTTTACATTAAGAATCGGTAATCAACCTTCCTAGTAAATATAATTTTAAGATAAACTTTTGATAATAGCTATAGTACAATAAAAAGTAGCCAATATCTTTTGAGAAGAAAACTGTCCTCAAGTATTTAATTCCTTTGAAGAAAAGTCTTTAATGCTTTTGTCTGGTGCAGAGTAAAGCCAGCTGAGTACATACTCTGTGTGTTTGTTGTGAATTACACTATTTACTTCTTTGTTTAAAGAAATGAACAAATGTTATTTGTGATTGTTATATATAAAAACAGTTAGACAGACCAGCTTTGTTGCACTATCTTGTCGAGACCCAGTTTTCTATTTTGTTTTTTTTTTCCTGCAAGTTTTTGTTTTTATGTTCCCTACTGTTAATTGGTTTTTATGTTTATAACAGTTGTCCTGTCTATTGAAATATATTTTCAACGTAACAAAAATAAATTTTATGATTTTGTATTTTCATTCAGTCATTCTGGTGTTTTTATTAAAACTACTTGAAGAAATTCACAGTATGTTAGTATTAAATATGAGTTTAAAATTAAAACAGACATTTATATATATATATATATATAGTTTACTTTTAATAACTTCCTTTTGTGATATAATCAGTAGTGTTTGGAGACAATACATTTAGATTCAAGTGGTATCAAGGTCAACGTTTATGTTTATTTTATATGAAGTATAAAATTGAGATTGATTGTTCAAAGTTTTCAGTGTAGTTTTTAAACAAACAGCCTTGAGACGAAACCTGATTTACTTGGAAAGTGTTGGTTACATATCTGAATTTGTATTAAGTTACAGAGTTCCACTTGACTGTCTAATGATATAAAAAAAATCATAATAATGCTTGGCTTGTAAAAAAATATATATTTTATGTAAATTATAAATAACTTTAAGAAAGGAAAATTTTTTTTTCCCATCCTCCTGTCGTATCGAATTTTATTTTTACTGCATGGTTTATACATGTGTATGTATGATGTGTGTGCTTGTGTGTGTGTATATGTATATCGAGAGAGAGGGTGTGAACGTTGAAGTTTAAATGTTTTTTTTAATAATGGAGATTATTTTATTCTGAATTCAAGGTTGATTCACATCCCAATAAAAATGAAATGTTGGGAATTGCTCGTAATCTGCGTGAAGAACATGACAGAGCAGATTATCTTACAAAGCAAAAGACTGATCAGCGAAATGCGGTAAGGATAATTTAAAATACAAATAGGAATGCAGAAGTTGCAAGATTACAAATTTCTTGTATCTCCAAAAGATGCAAGAAATTACACATACAGAGAAAAAAATTGTTTCCAGCATTTAGCAATATTAAATTGCTAGTTATAATAGAAATAAATCCTAGAACAGTAAGAGGTTTGATAACTTTAAAAATATGCAAGTACACACACACACATACACAAAAACTTGGAATGCAACATAGAGTCTTTTACCAGATTATATATTTTAATTAATATTTTCCACAAATTGTCTTTTAGTTGTGCTGTTCATATTATTTCACAATGCCACATTACATGAACAATTTAAACAACTACTCTGCTTGTGGAAAAAATAAGCACAAATGTATTTAATTTATTAATTATCAATTCCAAGAAATAATTCAATACCTTGTAGTTAATAAAGAAAAAAAAAATAGATGTAGATAGCGTACTTTTATTTTAAATTGTGATTATGTTCATAGTTTTTGATCATTATTGCATATTACCAAAGTAACATTTTTGGGCTGGCGAAGGACAAAATAGCTTAAAGGATAACTGTTATGCCAATTTTTTAAATAAAAAATGGAATTAGCAAAATATACATCAATATATAAATTTTGAAGGAATTGTTCTATAAGAAAGGAAAGTGTGATGAAAGGTTAACTAATATGTAAGTGTGTGACTTGAAATGTTTTTACTCTATATATTTACTAACAAGTTTCAAAAAGTATGTTTTTGAAGAGAAAACAAGGATTTCAGGAATATTTTTCTTAAGCTAATAAAGTATTCACTTTTTATTGATAAAGGCTCATTTCTTAGATAATTTTAATAATTAATTTGAACTACAAGTACAGTGTGTGTTTTATGTTTTTTCTTTTTGTTTCAGTTAACACATGCAGAAAAAACAATTCAGCGTTTAAATCAACAGGTGAAAGAATTGCGCCATGCAGCCCTTGGGGCAACACCTGAAGGTGTGTAAAAAACAACAACTGAGGAATTTGTTTAAACATTTTAATAGAAAAAATATTCTAACTGATGGGTTTGTGTGTGCAAATAATGTCCAATGTGATATTATTATAAAAATTTTAATCTTATAATTTAGTTTAACTTTTTATTGTATCCTGAGTTATAGGTATGTAGAATTATATTTTATAAAACTTACTTCATTTTTTTCAAGATAAAAAGCTATTGTAAGTTTTTAAGTTATGGATGTATTTTGGAAGATAATTTAACATCATTTTTGGAAATTAGGATTTTTAATACATACACACAAACATGTACATAAACCATTAAATTTATAATTCAGTGAATGAAGAAATTATTTTATTTCACAATATTTAAATTACATTTTGGTTTTTATTTCATAAGATATTTGTTACAGGTTTGATACAGAAACTTGAAGAAGAGGTACGTGTTAACTCGTACTTAGTAAAAGAAAAGCTTCCTAAAGAGATAAGTGTCCGTCAGAAATACATTCATGATCTGCAGCATGTTGTCAATCAGCCAGCCATGGGTCAGTCAGATATAGACAAGCTAAATGCAAAGGTAAAGCCATATGCATTTAATCTAAACAGGTATATTGGGATAAATTTTGAAGCATGGTGATAAAAAAAGATGAATTCAACTATAAAGAGATTCTAAAGTATTGCACAGCTGGTATGTTGAGAATGAAATGAACGTGCTTTTATACCTTTTTATTGATTCATCAACCAAGTGTATTTTCCATTTCTTTTACAATTACTGTTAGGAACTTATTATTTGTATATATGTTATTGAATAAGATTATGGATATGAAATAAATCCTTAAGTTTTTGAGATTATCTTTCAAAGGGTATTATTTCAGAATATGTTATTAATATTTCTTTTTCACAAAAACTTGTTCATTACTTTTAGTTTGTGACAAAGTTTGGTTATTGAATATTTTATTTTTCAATAATATTCGTTTACAGATAAAGAAAATGAATACTGAAGTTAATCAGCTAATTGAGAAAAAAATGGCTAGCAGTGAACCCGTTAATGACAAGCTTTCACTCTTCAGGCAACAAGTAGGTATTCTAACTAACTCAAAATAATTTAGATTCTATTTTCCACACATTAATTACAGATATTTACTGAAGATATTAATTTTTTTGTTATGAAAACAAAAAGGATTGTAACCTCTATTTAGAAGAAATGTAATAAAATACCTAATTAAAAAGATTTGTTTATTATAAATAGTTGAAACAAAAGATGTCAAAGAAATTACCAATTAAGTGATTGTTAATGCAATTTCTTTAATATTGTATTACTAAGTGTAAAATATTGTTTCAGTTTCTCTAATAAACAATCATATTTGCATTACAAGCAAAAGAAAAAAAAAGACCATTTACTCTATGGAAATATGAATTTTATTTTGTCCAACATTTCACTATTACAACTTCTGGGCTCACACAAACAATAAACTCATAAAAATATGTGTATTTTCAGAATAGTACATTATATGGAAAACAATTTGGCTTTTCAGTAATATATACATTGTTTTGATTTCTCTTTTATACAGGCTGCTATGATTGCCCGTAAAAAGGAGACAGCCGCTGAGCAGTTGAATGAAGTACGAACTGAACTAGCACAACTAGAAGAGGAACTGCAAGAGAAAAGAGAACAAACTAAAGGGTTTGATGGAGAAGAAGTTCTAAAAGGAGATGAGGTACAACCAGGCTCATTTGAAAATATGAAATGTAACAATAAACACAAAGCAACTGTGTAAAAATTTATTATTACTTTAAGATATATTATACCAATATTCTAAAATCATTGGCAGATAGTGTTATCTGTTTCATACATAACGTACAGTTTGCAACAAATAAACATGTGCTTAAATAATCTGTACTGCCTAGGTAAAATCCTTTTTAATGCTTTTTAATTAATTTGAATTTATGAAAATATTCATGTTATGTATTCCATGCATTACATATATTTCTAGTGTTGAATATTTGTATCAGATATTCAGCTTCATCCACTTCTGCTGACTTTATTGAAAAAAGTGTTATGATTTTGAACCCATAAAATATATTTCTGTGATCCAGTGAATTTTGTTTAGTTTTAAAATTAACCTAGAATTATAATCTGATAAAATTTATATCAAATTATTTTTGCACATTAAAAAAAACATATCTGTTGTGAAACACAAGTTTGTATTGATAAAAAGAAGAATAATTTATAATTCCACAAATCAATGAAATGTGGCTTAATATAAGAAGTCTTTGAATCTGATGCTTCTGACATTTGTACTTCAAGATATATGCAATTTTGACAGAAAATCTGCTGATTAGTACTTAAGGTTTACAATAATAGCTGGTTTCATGATAATTCCTATAGATATAACAGGAACACCATGATCTCAGGCAAAGTTTAGTAAAAAAAATTCTCCATCTTTCAAAAAGAAAATCATTGTATCTCCTCCAGTTCTTTTTAGTTTTTGGTTGATGAATACTGTTGGATGCTTCATTTGACAGTGTATGTTCCATAAACGTTGCAAGAGAATTAAGAATGTGTGCCCACCAGAGGTCTGGTTTATTCAGAGATCTATTGTTAAATAATAAAACTGTAACAGTTTGTTTAGGCATTTCTTGTAGTTTACTAAATTTAATTTTATATTTGAATGTATGGATCATAGTTTACTATCTTGGTGATTTTAAAAGTACTGAACTGTGCATTTTTTGAAGGAGGTTTCTTAGAAAATTAGCATCCATAACTGCTTGTTTAGTAGGGTCTCTCAATGTTTTAGCCTCTGATGATGCAATAAGCAAGTAATATTTGCTCTTTTAGATGAGTACCTCTGAAATAAGGGGACATTTGAGGAACAGATATTTTTTGTGGTCTTGTGGTTGTTTTGTAATAGGAATAGTAATAGCATTTTACTTTTTGACATTTAGTTTGTTGCATAAATCTACATAAAAAAAACTGTATAATTTTAAAATAGAAACAACTAAAAACATTGTCCCCCAGCTGCAAATGCTCTGTTTAAAGTACATTAAAAATACATATATTTACTAACTGTTATTAATCACATTAAAAACAGCTTAACTTAATGTTTACATCTACACAATGAACTATACTGTTACATATTATTTTCCTGTCAAATATTATAATGTTTCTTATAGTCATAACTTTGCCTAAGCATGAAACTACTGCTATACTATTTTTTATTAAAATATTTTTACAGCACTATTTTACTTGAATGGAAAATGGTGTAAATAATGATGATATTGAACAGTTATGGTGTATATCATTGAATTTTTAAATGATATTATGTATATTTTCTTTTTATATATGAAATAAGTCCATATTACATAATATCACAATAGTCATAATTTTTTTGCATGATTCTACATTGCTAGCATTTTAATGATTCTTAAAAATCAGGATAATGGTGCATCATACAGAATCTGTATGAATTAGTATGAGTAAAAATAAGTAGACTTACACGCACACACACACACACACACACACACATATATATATATATATATATATATATATATATCTATTTGTTCTTTTACATTATTAATGTCTGACAAACTGTGTTTTAATACTGTTGTTATGATGTTAAGAGTTACAATGTAGAAGTTAGCTTAATTTAAAACTAAAGGGAAACTTTGTCTTTCAAAACGAGATTAGTTTTTATTTTGACATTAAGAACATATTCTAATTAACTTTTTGATAGTTTAAAAAGTATGTGACAAAACTAAGAAGCAAGAGTACTTTGTACAAGAAAAAGAAACTGGAACTAAGTGATTTACGAGCAGAAACGGGTGTTTTGGCCAGAACCAAAGAAATTCTGGAACAGAGAGAAAAGTCTGTTTCAGAGAGTTTGGTAAGTTTTCACTATTTATCTTGTAAAGCAAATATTTTAAAATAATCTTCTAAATCAAAACAACATTTTTCAATGAAATGTTGATATTTTAAAAATAAGCTAAACTGAGATATTTTGAATTCTGAATAATATCAACTTGCATGTTTTAATGTATCTTGAGAAAGAACAAGAATTTACTTCAATGATTTTGGTATTACTAGTTTGTGGATACAAAACATAAATCTTTATAATAAATGATTCTGGATCAGTCTCTGTTAGAGGATCAAAAGGGAATAGGTGGGTTTCATTCAACACAAGAGGAACTAGAGAAGGTCTCCAGTGTTAAAGCACAGCTTGATGAAGAAAAAGGTCATACCTTGGAAGAGATGTCTACCATGGTACGAAGAATAAATGCCCGAATAAATGAGAAAAAGGCTCATTTGGCTCCAATAATTAAAGAATTGCGGCCACTGAGACAGCAATGCCAGGTATTTTAAAATTAAATATTATATTTGCTTTTAAACCTTTCTGTATGCCTGTTCACTAAAACCTTTGGATGCTATAATTAGATTTATCCGACTTGACATTTATAGCCGTTTGGTGCGACAAGTGAATTTACTCCACAGTGTCACAAAAACTTTTCCTCATAGTGTGACAGTTGAGATGCTTGCACATTCTTGAATTTCCTGCCTTAGTGCAAAAGTGCAACTAGTGGATTTTGAAATTGAAAAAATTAAAAAAAAAGGTCAAGTTCTAAATTTCATTTGTTAGTGGATAATTGACACTTTTTGTGAACCCACCTGAAATTTAATTACACACTCAAAGGGTTAAAAGATCATTTTATCAAAAGAAAAATACAAACAGATTTATAATGCTTGAGTGTGAGTAATGTATTTCTTTTGTATTGGATACAATCATTCAGTTTTGAAAAATATCACCAATAAGGAATATTGTAGTTCAGTAGATTCATTCTCTTTGTGAGGTGAGTTTGACCCAGTGGTTAGTATGCCCGACTATGGATCTGAGGAAGTAGTGGGAAAACATTATGAAAAATGCACAAGGGACACACAAATATAGATGTCACACCCAATGAGTATTAATAACTACATTAATTTACTAATGGTATAAATATTATCACAGAAAATACAAAAGAAAAGCAAATAAGTTGTACAATGCACTAATATTTTGTATGTGAGCCCTTTGCTTTGCACAGAAGATTACACCTTATTTTCTTTTCATGATGCCACACAGTTATCTATATACAGTTGTGGAATATTGTTCTAGATATTCTGTATTATTCCTTTCATCTCAGCCAAGTTGTTTAGTAAATTTTTTGACTTTTTTGTTTATGACATTTGCTCATACAACCTCAAGAATGTTGATATTGGGACTTTGTGTAGGTTAACATACCATTTCACCACATTTGTTGTATTGTATGTTCAGGATCATTGTCTTACTGGAAGTTGAACTCCTCCCATTTGGTGAGTAATGTTCCTCAGGAAATGGCATGATGGATCATAATCTGCTTGTGTTTTTCAGAGTGCTATTAGTTTTGTGTAGAACATTGACAATGTTGGCTAAGATACAGCCCCAAACTTCATCTGATCCCACCACCGTACTTCACAAAAGATATATATTGATTATCATACATTCCCCTCGCCACTGTTGAACAAACTGTCAATGATTGTTGCCAAACAATTGGAACTTGGATTAATCTGTAAAGAGCACACCTCTTCAGCTTTGCTCATTCTACTGTTTGTGGTCTAATAATAATTTTAACCTTTTCTCAGCGATATTTTTCAATCAGCTAAAAATTAATTGAAACGATTTCATGTTAATGTATATCTCACTGATCTCGAGAAAACATTCACACCTGTATTTACAGCAAAGTTGTTAACAAACAACTGCACTCAACTGCTGTTTATCTCATAAAGGACATTACCCTGAAACATTTAACATCTCTTTTGAAGAGTTGTATTTACAGCAACATTATTGACAAACATCTGTATTCAACTACTGTTTTTCTCCTAAAGAACATTACCTTGAAACATTTAACATCACTTTTGAAGAGTTGTATTTACAACAACGTTGTTGACAAACATCTGTATTCAACTACTGTATTTCTCCTAAAGAACATTACCTTGAAACATTTAACATCCCTTTTGAAGAGTTGTATTTACAACAACGTTATTGACAAACATCTGCTTTCAACTACTGGTTGTCTCATAAAGAACATTACCCTGAAACATTTAACATCCCTTTTGAAGAGTTGTATTTATAGCAACGTTGTTGACAAATATCTGCACTCAACTACTGTTTGTCTCATAAAGAACATTACCCTGAAACATTTAACATCCCTTTTGAAGAGTTGTAGTTTCCTACCTCAACCACTTCTGTTATTAACACTGCTAATTTCATGGACCCTTTTCAGAGTCTTGCTCACAAGCCCTTACTAAAACATGGAATCTTGCTTCAATTTTTCGAATAGAGTGCTCTAGATCAGCCTATTTACATGCTTGTCATATGCTTTTTAAATTGTGGGAGATGAAAGTGGAATACTACTACTACTACTAATGAGCATAGAATGGTACGACTTCCTTTATTTTTAAGGGCTTCATATTGATGGGACACTTTCTGATTGGTTGGATGACAACCAGTCACAGTGTAAATTAACAGCACATGACTGTACTCTAGTGTATTTCAATTTTACACAATAAGAAGGTGGCATTTAAAAATATATGCCTGTTACACCCCCCTATCAAATAAATTACATTTAATACATTCTTGAAATAAAATTAGCAAGGAACAAGTCTTTTAAGGTTTAAGCAAAATTATTATAATCATGGGTTATCACATTAAAAAAATTACTAAAAACATAACGTATATAAACATAACACTTATAATACCAATATACCAGTTGTTAATGTTAATTTAGAAATCCAGTGATGTATGTGAAGTATTGATATTAAACATTGTATTCAGCACTTGATGCTGTTTGGTTTCTATTTGGTGAAATCTGCTTCTTTTATTATTAATGAATACAGATTTGGCTAAATATCTCAAAGGTAAAACCCTGTCTTACAGGATTTGAAGTATGAATATGACCAGAAAAAAGCAGCATATGACTCTCAGTCAGCTGGGCTGGAAAGCAACTTGTCCAAGTTGGAACAGGTAAAGATGGAAGAGTAATCAGAATCAGGCTTCATATTGTAATATTTCTTCGTATGAGTCAATTCTTCTGTGTTGCATTTGAAATGTTTTGGATTTTTGATTATACTCTGAAACAAGGAAGGAGTTTTTAACTTTTTGTAAATAACTAATCATAAGGTTTTCGTGGGGTTGTTATTTATAACTTAATACAGAACAACTGCTATTAGTCATACCACTTTTCTGTGAAATTCCGTTTTTCAGTTCATTATAATGCTTAATTGACACTAATGTTGGAAGTTTCATATTGATGTATTTTGTGTGTGTTTATGTACATGTGTGTGTGTGTCATAAAGAAACTTCCAAGATCGGTGATAATTACCTTACATTTGTCTAGAAACAACTTGTAATTTTATGATATTATTCTTATTTTGGAAATTATGTTACTTGTTATAAAAATAATAATAATCACTAAATCTTTAGTACATTTATAACTTTAATACTTGTAAGAATTATGTAATTTAGGTAATAGAAAGGTAATACAACATGAAATCTCTGTATTCTTCTAGCTTATGGTATTTGTACTGTATAGTTCACTCTAAGAAACAAAATTGTTGTTTACAATGGAAGATCCCCTACAGTTTTTCATTCAGATATGTGGTAAGAAGAGAGTTTGAATCATATACAGATAAAGACTGAGCCCTTATGAAAATGTGTGTAATAAACACATCAGGAATCTTCTCTTTTTTTTTAACAATTTAGCTTGAGTTTTCATTAACTTTTAGAAATGAGTGAGATTGAGTCTTGTATATATATATATATATATATATATATACATACAAAGAATAAACTGGTTTTAACAAGATTTTAGTGTAATTTTCATACATCTAAACACTTGAGCATGATATAAGCTTTTAAAAAGTTTTTGTACAGTGATCAGATCTCATTATGGCTTATGAATCAAAGTTACAGTAAAGTTTTCATATATATAAAACTAGGAGGTCCAGAATTTGAGAGAGGAGGTATCATCAGAAGAGTCTAGATATCACTACCTGAATGCTGCTATGGAGGTCCTTGAAGAACATCAGCAGCGTGTGAGCGAGGAGTTAAAAATTTATGTATCCAGTGACCCTCAAGAAAGAAAGAAATCACTGAGGTATGTGAAATCAGTTACAAAACCAAAATTACATTTGAGAAGGAAGATACACCATAATGGAAAGTTAGCTTCATCCAATGATATTTTCAGAGTGTGTGTTTAGTAGATGTAAACTATTATGTTTAAAGGGTACATTTGTTGTGACCAGTGGTATGTTCAGAATTTGAAGAAAAATATCTGGATCAAAGCTGCTTTTTTCCAGGTAGCTATCACAGATGCTGCTGTTAAACATACAGGTGTCATGAAAAAATAATATATTAAAATAAATTAAATTAAATAAAGAACCATAGTGAAACCAGATTACTATATGTTAAATTATTAATTCATGGCATTATATATATAGATGGGGATTTATTTAATTAAAATGGAAATAAAAGTAGTAGTAATTGTTTACATTTGATTAAATCTTTACATTTTTGTTATCTTTTGTTATGAAAGATGACCTTTTAACACAGTTGTTTACAAAATGTTTTATCTTTCAGTGTATGAGGACAATCGAAAACGGATGTTATGTTTAGAAAACGTGCATCTGATCTAAGAAAAGCTATCATTGGTGTCTATACTTTTTACCAAGTGGTAAATTTATAAGAGCAGATAATTGACAATTAGCAGGTGTTAATAAAATGTAGTGAACTTTATGTTTTTCACCTCAAGTTACTATTACTACAACAGTAGAGATTAGTTTTAGGTGTAGAGATAATAAACAGTCAGTTGAAAAATTTTGACTAAAAAATAGAACTTGTTTAAACTTCTACATACATATTCTTTTAACAGAGAGCAGTATAATAAGAAAATTCAGGAACAAGAATCACAAGCTAAGATGCTTCGAGACCAACAGAAGGAAGTCAGGGATAACCATACTGGAAGTCAACATCAGGTGAAGATGTGGAATGATCTCCAGAAACTCTTAGAATGCAAGAAACAGTGTTGGGAGAACATGCAGGCTCAACACAGACCTGGAGTTTCAACAGCAGTGTCTGGTGACAGGCTTGTTTTGTGATTTAAACCACTACTGTTAAAGAAGGCTTGCAGTAAATTGTAGGAGAGAAGAACAGCACGCATTAGTAATTTATTCTTTTTAAGAAGGTTTACACTATTAAATGAGATAGTGCACATTGAAAGTAATCAAACATTGTTCATATATATATTTTTTGGCACCAATCTCATAGTAGTGGATATTTATTTTCATAATTTTACCATTGTGTCATTAGCTGCTTTGTACATATAGCTAGTTTAAAACATTCTATTTTCTCTTGCAAACTTGGAAATGAAACCACTTACTAATTGTAAGAGTAATTAAGATTAGAAACTGCTTATTTTTCTTAGTATTATACTTTGTCAAGATGATTCATGCAACAGCTCAGACCTGGGAAAGTTTTATTTGTAAGGTTGATTAGGATGTGAAACCTTATTTGGGATCAAAGTAAAATAAATACAGTTTCTCATAAAAAAAGAATGATAATGCAAGGGATCAAAAATATGAAATATTTTATAACTGTTAAGTAATCAGTTGAAAGAAAAAAGCATTTCTTAACAGATATTTCATTTTGTTATATTATTAAAATCTTAAATTGTTTGATGGCTAAGAAAACTTTCTTACCTTTCTAAATTTATAGGAGACTAATCTTGTGAAAAGCTTTTTTTTATAACATTCTTAGTGCACTGTTTCTGATGCACATTAGTAAACATTGTTTAGGAATTCAGTAGTTGAACTAAAAATAGGTTAAACATGTAAATACAATATATTGTATATTCTCCTGCTCTCATTAAAAGTAGCCTACATGATATGAATGTAATACAAATACTGCAAAGAACATCACAAACATTTGTTATATAGAAACCATGTTTTAAAAAATGTTCTGCATATTGTGAATCTGTAAGTCTGGCAAGACAATGACAAACAAAGAAAATTGTATAAGTTTGTGTTAAATGATTCCTGAAATAGGTTTAGAATTTTTTTAGATTAGTTAGATGCATGTGTAAATCACAAATAGCTTTAATTAGTTAATGAATGTTTTGTGTACTGTTAAATGTCTATAAAATCTGAAAATGCTAGTATTTCTAGTTTTTTATTTGTCAATAACACAGAAGAATAGTGCCTTAAAAGTTTTTGAATTTATGATAACATCAAACTTGAATGTAATACTTTGAGATACACAGTGCCATACATTTATCTAGTCAGCAAAAGCAAGAAAAAAGTATTGTAAATTTAATGCATGATTATACTTGTGATAGAAGAAATTGCCCAGCCATTTTAACTAAATATTAAAATGTATGTATTGGTTAGTAAGGAGTTCATTTCTTTATATTGGTAATTGTAATTTTTTATGCTTTAAATCTGAAGGTGTTGCTACACAAAAACAGTCTTAGAATCCCTCCAGTAGACATTACTGTTAGATTGAAAGCTGCCAATCAATCAAAAGATGGTTATTAGAAAAAAACAAAGAAACAAGGCTTCAAGAAAGACAAAACAGGCATTCTGTTGAAAAGCACGAATCTTCCACAATTGAAGATTGAATTAACGGAATGAGGATTGAAGATTTCAGTGCAGAAATAAGAGATACATTTTTATATATCATATACTGTAGTGAAGTAACACCTAAAGTAATAAGTGTTTTGAACTCTATTTTTTCCAATCAATGTAATATTTATACCTCTCTAACAATTGTAAATGGCAAGCCTAACATGATGTTCCCTGGAACAATAATTTAGAACTACCTTGTGAAAAGTGCATAAAAGGCAAGTTAACCTACGTTGTTATACAGAATAATGATTATCTGTTTGGTAAACTTTGGTATCTTCAGTAAATTTGACTGCGTAAGGTACTTAATGGATTCATTTGTTATGCCAAAAATGTTTGTCATATATACTTTAAGTGTAACAAAATAGAAAATAAAATGTCTGATATTTATTTAGGACATTTTCAGTGAGAGTATGTGTAAAAATAAAAATGAAAAAAATTTTCAAATCCATATTTTTAGGAACAGAGAATCAGGCAAACAACTATAGCAATTAATTTGCTGCAACTTAATGTAACAGGTATTTGTTTGTGAAGGTATTTAATGATTTTTGCATACTGAACAATGCAAATCCTGAAATTCCAAGTAAATGTTATTTCTGTTGCAAGTACAGTCTCTGTTGCATTGAGCATTTTATTCTGAATAATATGTTTTCCCTAGTCCAATAAGATTCTCAGTATTCACTCTCTTATTGCAGTTCTTCTGCCTTTGAGAACTGTTTTTACAGAAAGTCCATTCCTCTTTTTGAAGAAAGAAAGCAAGAATTGTTATTGAGATATCATATGGTGAGAATAAATCCAATACTATAACTCTTGACCCCCATGATAAGAGTCCTCAGGATCACATTCTTGTGGTAGATCTCAATCTTTTGCTTGCCAGTGGTTTATTCTACATAAGCAGGTGTTAGGTGATGTGTTTACCCAGCTTCTATAGCTGTTACTAAACTTTGAATTTGTTTTAGCTCTTGTACACAAAGAATATATTATGCTGTATAATGAGGGCTTTTGCTTGCTTTATTGATCTTAGCCATCTACTTGTGATCTGATCTTTGAGAATTTTGATTTAAAATGTGATTTCACAAAATCTCTGTGTGGCCACAGACCTAGTTCACTGTCTGTTCATAAAGTTGATACTGCCCCTTCAAATATTTTCCACAGTCTGTTTGATTCAAAAATGGGTTTTGTCATGTTAGAGTTTTATTGACATTATAAAAAAAAAACAACTGATTTTCCACACTTGTTTGATTTGTCCTGCTCCTATGATAAATGAGACAATAGACTGTCTGATGCAGCATATACATTACTATTTGCATTATAACTCTAAACCTGTGAAAAATGGATTCTTGCTTTGGGTCATGCATAAATTTCTGAACACAAAATATTGCCCATACTATTGTTTGTGTTGTAATGTTTTATGTCCCTTAGTTAACACCTTATTGTTCAATTTTTTTAGCATAATCCGTATGTAGTTATAAATTAGATGTTAATTGAGGTAACCAAGAAAAACTTTTCTTTATATCTTGATTAGATTATCACAAATCTTTGAGATTATAATAAAAATAATATAAAAATATATTCAAACGTCCTACTCTACAAGACACAAGAAATATAAACATAACAAACTGTCAGGCTACCTTACCTACAAGTTCTTATATTTTAACTTTTCACACTAAAATGAGCAAAAAACGTTTGATACTTATGTTTCAATGGACATTTTTTTCTACTCCAACTATGTATTTGTATAGAATCTTATTACTATGCCCAATTATTTTGTGGAAATTTATCAGTTGGTAAATTACTTAGTTACTGAGTAAGCAGTAAATATTGCAATTTTATTTCAAAACAAACTGTTTATTACGAATAGTTTTTTTATCCAAAGTCATTTAAATAATATATTATGGGGCTAAATTTCATATTAAACAGTTAGTATGTCTTTGAAACCAACTGTTTTTGGAATGAAAGTGGTATTTTATTGATGTCTGATTGACTTATGTTCATTGTTTTTTATGTCAAATGATGTCATGGTTTTACTTCTAAAATTTAGTTAGGTTAACTTGACTCATAGGCTTGTTGCTGAATTAAGTTCACTGTGTGTTTATCAGTAATTGGAGATTTTTTTAAAAAAGAAATTGGTAACTCACAAAATTTTGATGTGAAACTTGGAGCAAATACTGTCTTTTTTACAATTCATTTCATACATAATTGTTTACATTAATAATAAGTTCTGTAGTAGTTGTGCAATAGAAGAGTTATCCATTTTATCTAATTTACTTATGTTATGCTGGAGGATGTCTTTACTAGAAATAACTAATAATAAATCAATCTAGAAAATCAAACAATCTGAGTAAAGATTTGTGCTTGGGTGGGTGTGTTTTAGCTGATTAATAGTATTGATAAAGTAAAAACTCAAAGATTATTGTTTGTAAGTAGATTTTAACTGAAAAATGAAACAAAGAGACTACTACTTTCAGTAGTACTAGTTAGTCAAGCTTAGAAAAAATTAAGGAAATAATTGCATGAATGTTTTTATTAAACAAAATGGAAGGAACAGGTTGAGATCATAAGTGAGTAATCCACATATAGTTAGTTGCAGAACATTGAAAAACAAGTGAACATTATTTAAAAAATTAATGAATTTTTCAGTGATAGTTGACTGAGAAAATTTGTTTTAAATTTTCTTTGGGACCATTTGTTAAACCTGAAAAGATTATTATAGTTTTGTAGTTGAAGTGAAATTATGGGTGTTACTAATTACTAATGAAAGAAAATATTTGCAGATTTGACTCGCAAACAAGCAAAATTATAGAAACAAGTTTGTATGTGTGTGTTTAGAATATATATTTGTATTCTAACAAAGAGACAATAATATAAAGTTTATGTATAAGGTTCCCTGAATGAGTAACAAGAAGACTTCCCACAGTTCTGTGATGAGTTAAACTCACTGCATCTAGTATTATCACTTATGATTTTTTACTCTCTGTCAAAAGTATATTTGTGTATTATAGTAGTTTTTTTTTAATTCTATTATAACTACTGAAGTAACAGCAAACATATCTAAGTTAGTAAAGATAGTAAAATCCATTATTTGTATAGAAACCAAAGATAAACAGCAAACTTCACAGTTTTATTGTGCTTATAAATTTTTCTGGAATCGTTGAAGAATAGGGCAAGCTCTTATATATTAATGTAGGTTTCACTATTTCCCCACGTATATATTTAATGTATGAGTGAGTCATTCATTTATGATTGTTATTTTTTCTGTCCAGTTATGTGATACTACGAAGAGAAATAAAATTGTTCACTGCTGTTATTGTTTTATGTTTTTAATACTGTTCTTACACGAATTACTTTGATTTCTTAAATAAAAATTTTTATAGCTTAAGTTTAGTAATTATATTTAACTTTCAAAGTTTTTGTTTACATATTAAACTTATTCCAAAAAGTTGCATTGAAAACAGAACAGTCACATTTGTTTTAATTTCACACTCAAAAGAAAGCTGTATGCAGTTGTTATTACAGCATCTTATTTTTTATTGTAACATCACTTAAAGAAGACTAATGAATTTTTCAGTGTTAGTTGACTTTGAGAAAATTTGTTTTAAATTTCCCATGGGACCATTTGGTTAACTAAGAAGAAGAGTGATATGAAATCTACTTAACGTAGCTTTCAAGAAATACCAGTGGTAGTAATAACTTGTGATAAGGTATCCTCATTCATGGTATTGAAATGTTGGAAAATAACCACATGGAAGAAAATTTATGACATCCTTGTCCACATTATAGCACTGAACTAACTTTGAAGCCAGCTTGTCAATAAGTCAGTTATTATTGTCACAGAAAGTTTCACAAAGAGGTAGATACTGAAGGTTGTTACATATTGTCAGTCATTGTTGCTGATGAAAATAATAACACTTATTAGAGTACGATTCGTGGGAGGTAGAACTCCTATCCAGTTTTTTAGTAAGGTCAGATGTAAAGACTTTGTGTTTTCCAATGAAAACAATAAACTGCATTGCTGGTAATAACACAAACTTTGAATGTGCAATAAATGTATGTGCTGACCATGAGTAGGGAAGATAAAATCCAATAACACAAAAGCAACTTAAGTACCCAAATAGTAGAGGGATTAAAATCCCAAAGGTAAAAACAAGTAACATTAATTCTTTATTTGCATATTATTTGTACAGATTGTTTAGGTACATGTTGCTTTACTTCTTTATTCTGTGCTTTTTGTTTTGGTTCAAAAGCTTTTGGTGTGCAGAAATTCCACCATTACTTATATGGTTGACAGTTCATTTGATCATTGTTTACTACCAAATCTTGACTATTTATGGTCTAAATAAGGGAATTCCATCCTTTGCAATGCTAGGTCCTACTTTTCTCTGCTCATACGCACAATATTGAGTACAAGAATGGCTATGATTTTTCATGCTAATGGACTTTTAAGATAACCATTAAATATTACAGATAAGAACAAAGCTGACTCAGCTGACTGTAGTCAAATGTAATTACTACCAGATTAATTATGCTGGCGCTTCCCAAAAAACTAGAACTGACCCTGCACTTTCTCAAGTTGTAGAACAAGCTTCAAAAGATGGATTAGAAGCTATAACTGCTGAAAAAAACGTGCTTGCACCTTTTTGTATCCAACACCATGAACTTTCTGCTTATTAAAAATGTTTAATGTGGGATATCCATGTTATCATACTCACTAAACTGAGAAGCTGTAGGTTAAACGTGCTCCACGAAGGACATTCTAGATGGTCAGGTTGAAGGCCTTGGCTAGAAGTTACATAAAATGGTTTGGAATAGATGCACAGTTTGAACAGAAGGCAAAATTTTGCACAATATTTATGTTGATTATGCTGGTCCATTCAACGGACAAATAAAAACTGAGGTTGCTGCTCACTCAAAGTGGTTAGATGTTCATATAGTGGACACCACTAGTACTGCAAAATTCTTCCAAACTATAAGAGGACTATTCAGTCTCTATGGCATTTCAGAGTAACTTATTAGTGAAAATGGTCCAAAGTTTGTCTCAAATGAATTTGAAACATTATTAAAAATGAATGGTGTCAAATATATTTAGTCTGCTGCTCTTTACCATCCAGCCACTAGTGGTTCATCTGAACAGTCTGTCTAAACGATAGAACAGGCACTCAATTCTACTAAGGGAAGTACTAAAACTAGTCGAAAGCTAAACTTCTTACTTATGTATAAAACCCCTATACAAAAACTAATGAATCTCCAGCAATGCTGCACTCACAACTGGGTCTGTTGAAACAAGATATGTCTTTGCATGTAAAAATGAACCAGAAGTTCCAGTTATTACGAAGACGAAAGAGAGAGCGTTTTCTGTAGGACAGGCTGTGCTGGTTCAAGATTATTGGAAGGGACAGAAGTAGATTTGGGATTATTTACATTCAAGATGGGACTGGTCTCGTGGACAGTGAATGCAGGATCTGAAATAATTTGGAGAAGTCATGTTGACCAACTACTAGATTGTGGTGCAAACATTACAGATGAAAAGCTTTCAGCAAACATACCACCGACTGCAACTGAATATATATATATATATATATATATATATATATATATATAG